ATATAATCAAAGAGTAGGCTTATAATAAATTTTTTCGAACATTTTTTTTATTTTTAAACGCAAATTTTTTATTTGGTTCATTATACTTATTTCTAATCAAATTAATGCTATATATATTATGTTCCATTAAATTATTAATTTCTCTTTATTAATATTATACACACACACACACAACACATATATTTATGAGTTCAGTAATTATGTAGTTAGGATACGTAAGATGGAGTAACCAGGTATGAAGTACTTAACTGCAATTGCATAATTATTTTAGCTACTTGGTGATATTATAATCGTTATTATTTACTGCATACAAGCATGAAAATAAAAATGCAGATATTGACATTTACGTTAATCTAATCTTTTTAAACGAATTGATATTATTAACAGTCGACGATACATTATGCTTTTAAAATCACAAATAACACATTCACAGCCAATATCTTTCACTTCAAGTGGTTAAATTATATTATTTAATTTTTTTAGAAAAGTAGAACGTTGAAATAAATACTATTATGTATGTGTGCATATTTATTGCGTGCGATACACCTGTCTGATCTTTCTAAGAAATTCAGTGTGAATGAAACACAGTGCACAACATCGAAGCAGAGTACTTTACGGAGGGCCGCGAGTGCGTGAATTGCGGCGCGATTTCCACACCCTTATGGCGTAGAGATGGTACCGGGCATTACCTCTGCAACGCATGCGGTCTCTACCATAAGATGAACGGAATGAATCGTCCATTAGTTAAACAACCACGTCGCTTGGTAAGGAAGGCTTCACGACAATTCCATCGCGATGTTAATCATCAACATGATTCGGGAATGGAACGGTTTGGCAAAGTCGTTTGCAATATTCAGAAAATTGAAGACTCTGTGTAGTGCTACTACGTCGGGACTCTGTATTTTATGTTTTGTTGTTTAACTTTCATCGCTATTATTTATCCGAAAAATTTGTAGAAAAGAATTAAAGTGTTTTTTTTAAACATTGAAAAAACATGAACTGGACGATGCAAACGATATTTTGCAAACCGTTGATTTCACGAATTGTACTGCACGCAATTGTACATTCGAAAAGGATATAAGAGAGAAAGAGAGAGATAAACAATAGGATACTTTCTCGCTTATTGTCGTTACTGTCCAGGAGCCTATGTGGAAATTCGCCCGTGATGTTCTGCCCTTTTGTAAGTCCGAGAGATGTTCAGTAATCGCATCTCTGAACGTGACAAAATGAATTCTCCTGGCACCTTGCGATGCCAAACTCGCCTCTTATTCGAGGCTCGATGTATCATCGTGTATATTTAATACACGCAGGAAAAAAGCACCCCTAACGTATGGCCTCATGTCTGTTTCAGTGGCGGACCAGGGCAATTTCTACAAAGACTTCTGTGGGTATAGTGGCACCCGTCGCGCCCTCGAGGAGAAATCGAGCCGTCGTTTGGTAGGTGTCATCCTCCCAAGTCAACATTCTCTCTGTCTCTCTCTCTCTCTCTCTCTCTCTCTCTCTCTCTCTCATCTCTCTCTCTGTCTGTCTGTCTGTTTTTTTCCTTTCTTTTGTTCTAATAATAACAATTGTAACAATTGTAACAATTTTTATCTGATGTCTCTCTTTCTCTATCCATTCTTTTCATTAGGACTCCTTGTTCCATAGTTCATCACTCTTACCGAATGTTTCTTCAATTCATCATCATTATCGTCGATTCGTTATTGTGGCCGAGTAGCAGTAGAGTTTGTACTATTAACACTTTTAAGAGTAATGTTATTTTAATTAAGTATTGTATTAAATAAAAATGTGTAGATATAGATAAATGAAGATTTGACAAAAAATCAGTAATAGATATGATACAAATTAATATTAAAAAAATATTGCGATTAAATTAAATATATTAAAATATTCAAGTTTAGTGCTAGAAAACTACTTTTGGTCAAGGATCGACAATTTCCTCCTTGTTCCGACTTTCCCATAATTTTTTTATTCCCATATTTTTTCGCGTTAACATCACGCTTTCTTTGATTCATTCATCATAATACTAAATGTCTATTGATTATCGAGACGAAGGCAGTCATCCTTGACTGTTTTCGTCATCGGTGGCGCATATCTAGTAGAAAACAATTTGAGTCGTAGCCCCGAGGTGCCACTATACCCATGGTACGAGCACTCTCCTTCCCGAAATCACGTGCAGCCTGTTGTAAAGTACGTTTTATCTTTCAATTTCCGATCACACGGAATGATTCTTGTGTCTGTTGAGTTTTTCCAGGCTCACGTGATCTTCGTGACCGAGGGTGGCTCACTTTTCTGCTCCGCGATCTCTATGGTACCTTGCACAGAAAACTTTCTATAATTACGGTAATTTAACCTGATCCTTTCCCGAATTCGTATCAAAACGTTTTAATGACTCAATGGGGAAAGCGATTGATCCGATATATGTAATCATAAGTTTTTTTTCTTAAAGATTCAAATATTAAAACATATTTTTTCCGATAATACCCTTATATGATATATTAGCTTCCTCCGAAATTTATATCACAAATCTCTTTCATATTTTGTGTATATTTTCATCATCATTCATAACGTTAAATTGATTCTTACGTTTCGTATTCACAATCTTGTAATATAGGTAATCGTATACCTCTTAAGAGCAATACAATCCATCATCATACGCCTTTAACAGACTCTCGGCTACGAAATTCCTATTCATTTTCTATTCCTTTTTGCCAAAGGTAGTAACATATAAATAACAATTTTATATCTTTTTAGTCTGCCACGAGACGCGTTGGTCTCTCATGCAGCAACTGTGAAACTACGATGACGTCTCTATGGCGTCGTAACGCACACGGTGAACCGGTGTGCAATGCCTGCGGTCTTTACTACAAGTTGCATGGCGTCAACAGGCCGTCGACTATGAAGAAAGACAGCATTCAAACGCGTAAGCGGAAGCCTAAGGGTGGAATGAAAAGCAGCGATACGCCTCTTTCTGGCAATGTCGCGCAATGCACAAACAATAATAATAACAATAATAATAGCGTCAAGCTTGAACCAGGTATACATACATTTCTATTAATTAAATAATATTAATTAAGATTCGATTATTAGAAAACTTAGAAGTTGTACAGTTTTTTTATTTTTTACTAATCAGATTTTTTCTGCCTTGAATTCTCCTTTACAAAGTTTTTGCGAAATACTTATCCAGATAAAATATACTCGCTTTATTTTATTATATTAATTTTGTACATGAAACTCAAATCATAATCTTATAAAAAATTATTTTGTTGTTAAAGTAGATACCTACAATGATTTGAGGATGGCTCATACCGGCGTGTCGCAAATGACATATTCAAGCAATCTTTACGGTAGTTCTCAATCTTCGGGCAGACTAGTACCCTATCAGCCTGTGTATTACGATCTGATCACTTCGCAGCAACAGCAACAACAACACCAATTGTTAGAGACCCATTCACCAAAGATCGAATGTCCATCTCCACCTTGCACAACGCGCTCACCTGGAATGGTCTCAGCTGGCCAATCGCCTGATCATCATCAACTCACTTCGCCACATATCGTCACTCTAGGCAGTCCGTCGACCAGTCCAGCCGGATCTAAAATTATGCTGGACAATGGTCATCTCGAGAGATCTACGGTTGTGTCGATATCATCCTAAACACAGTCTGGAAAGATGTCGGATTGTTAAGGCAGGCAATAAATAAAAAATCATAACCAAGTAATTAAGTGCCTGTCAAGCAAAAGACCTGGGTTCGATTCCCGCTTTTTACTTTTTAACCAGCAAGACATACAATCTCGCTGATCTTACTTTCTTGCACGCATTGTGATACGCAAAATTAAAAGTTATATATCTTTTAAAAATGTGTGAAAATATGAAAGCAGTGCTGTTGTAAATAAGAGTTTTAAAATGTTATAGGACTTTAGAATTTTTTTAGAAAATATCGAAGCTTTTCCTTGAGAAAGGGTAGTTCTTAAAGGAAAACAGATTTTTTTCTTTGTAAAAAAAAATGATTTTCTTTGTTTATTTTATGCTATTTTTATTAATTTTTTCTCTTTTTTTTTTACCAAAGAAGATTTTATTAACAAATCCTATCTCAGCAATTAAGACAGTACCAAATTACGAATGATATTGTTATATTTGTATATACATGTATATGGGAAGTTTCTTATATGTAAGATTATATATAAGATCATATGTAAGTGTTCTTATATTCCAGCATAAAACTACATAAAAGCACAAGGATATTTTAATCGAGCGGATATGTAATATTTTTAATAGGTGTAACATATAAAATACGTTGTGCGAGAACGATAAAAATTATAAGAATAATGTAATATAATACAATTAAATAATAAATATATAGCAACAATGGTGTATATTATACGAGTAAACATATCTGACGGTTATGCGAATAAATATATCCAATAATTATGACATATTTTTGTCTTTTTATAATAACGAGTTTTAGCAAGTATTTACGTCAATATGTTTCGCATAATATACTTTTAGAATGTTGTATATTGAGATATTAGATTATTTCTAAATAAAATGGGATATTTTAAACGAACATTTATTTTTATAATTTATAATTTATATAATTATATGTCTTATCTTAAATCTGAAGGTAAGTTAATTGTTTTTAAAAACTTAAATAAGACCTTTTTCAACTAGTGCACCGTGCGACAAAAATTCGTTTTGTGCGTGAATTTGAAGGCCCTGATTTAGATTCTCAGAAAAAATATACAATTAAAAATTATAACGTAGATTATAAAAGAAAAGTACAATATTACGTACGCATTCTATAATGAATTGCAAAAGATTGATCCAATGCGCATTACTGCCTATAGGTATGCATTCATGTAATATGTACATGAAGCGTACAATCTACATTTTTTTCGTAAATTGCATTCATTGCGTTATTTAAAAGATAATGTTTTTTTAGAATTATCGAAACAGATTTATTTAAGTTATACATATAAATATACGTTTAACATAGGCACTCCATAATATTCACAAAAACACTCGGTTGATGATAGACGAGGAGACAGTGAACGGCCGAAAGAAAGTTCATCCTTGTGTATTTTCGACGATAATGCAATGTCTCGGCTAATCTTTGTCGCCACATATACCCTCTCTTGTTTGCAATGGCGTAGTCGACATCGGAATTCACCAAACTTTTTTAGAGAGAATAACTAGATATTGTTTAAAATTATTAAGTTGCTTATTCGTTTAATTTTTAATTAAAAAAAAAGGCAGTAGGAGTCAGCACGGAAAACAATACGCAATGCTAATGAAAAATGATATATTTTAATGACAATGACATGAATGTCAAGTCACGAAATCTAACAGCTGTACGTTTCGGTTCCATTATTGAGTCATCCTTAGCTAACACAAAATACAATAAAAATCGCAATGATCCGTATCTATACAAATAAAAATACGGATTCTTACTGGTTTTACTATAGTATTTTGTTACAACATTCACGTCGTTGTAATTAAAAAATACATATCATTTTTTTACCTCATCAAATTAGCATTGCAAATAAAAGTGAAATAAATTCTACATTATCTAAATTATATAAATTAATATTACATAATTTATTTTATTAAACATTAAATATAAATTTAATATTTAATGAAAAATGAACTTTTAAATCTCAATATATGTATATTACTTATTTTCACAAACCCGGAGGGTTTTGTTGATTAAATAATTTGTAATTGTATTAACTTAAAAACAATATCTCTTATATGCATCATGAATCTCGATTACGCTGTTGCATCTGGGACAATAATGCTTGTTGGATCGTTGCCTTATTAAAACGATGTCTCACCTGATTCTCTTATCAGTGGTACCCTGTAGTGTGTGCTCTGTAACCATGACTATAACCCTCCGGCTTCAAGCTTCATTCCCCTCCTTCTAACAAAATGATAACTGTGATAGGTATACGTCTGTGTGTGTGTGTGTGCGTGCGTGCGTATGCGTGCGTGCGTATGCGTGCGTGCGTGTGTGTGTGCGTGTGTGCGCGTGCGCGCGCGCGCGCGCGCGTGTGTGTACACGGTAAGGTAAACCGATCCCTCGTCAAGGAGCTCCACGAAAATATAACCTGGGATAAAAGTAATAAATTACGAATAAGCCGAAGATTTTTCATAACATGATAAATATTTAAACTTTCTATCCTGGGAGATTGTTCTATGTTTTAGTTCAAATACTAGCATTTTCCCGTTATTTCATTATTTCTCGTTATACAATTATATTTTCATGAAAAATTCATGAGAGGGATTTTACAATAAATCTTTCTTAAGCGACTTTTATTGACATATCTATATATTGATGCAATCGTGTAATTGCTTTGATGAATTATATGGACATAAAAAGATAATTGGGTCGAGCTATAACCTGCGCGAAATGTAAAAAACAAATATAAAGAAAAGAATAATAAATGAGACATATCTATCATTGATACGAAAAAACATGCGAAATAGCATATATAAAGTATAAAAAGTAATATATATCATAAATCGACTGTGACTTTGCATTCTATAATAACGTTCAGATTTGGTTATAAAAAATACACAATTAAGTTATAATTTTTATAATGAAACTTATTTAGTTTACATGATACGGATTTGGGCTTCTTCAAAATATTGCTTTTAAAAAAATAGAGTTGTTCTATTCAATTCGTAAATAGATAATTACATAAATACAATTTTTTAAATTTTCGATGTTTTAATCAACTATTTATCTCGGTTGTTCTTAAAAAAGAATGGTTTATTGCCATCTTTATTTTATTCGCAACTTACCACCACAGTAGAAGAGCGAAACGGCGACGAACACCGCACCGCGGTACCAATATGGCGTCCGCGGGGCAGAAAGGATTCCGACACAGTACAACACGGCGCGGCGGCAGCAGTCGCTTTCTAATCGTCATCAGTTAATATTTGACGGCTCTCGGATAAAATCGAAGCTTTGATCTTGCGCTACCAGGCGGCAGTTCCAACGACGACGGCGACGACGACGAGCTCGAGCACGAGCACGACGACGACGACGACGACGACGACGAAGAGTAGCAGGCCTCCTCGCTCTTCTCGTGGAAGCGCACCTGTGTCAAGCGCGCGCCGCGTGCGTGTCTCGCTCACAAACTCACTCGTAGACGCAGTAACGACGAGGAGCGAGCTCCAAGAGCACGTCGTGGAGCGTCGAGTACAGAGTACAGAGTTGCGAGTAGTTCCAATAGGAAAGTTCTCCACGTAGCTGCTCTCTTCTTCGACGTTCTTCTGCCTCATCTTTCTCCTCCGTTTGATTTGTAAGTTAAAATCCCTTATCGTTCTGTTCGCGACCTTTCGGTCGTATCGATTTCGTCCGTTGTCAGAAACCGGCAACGCGATGCCGGATTATACAGCGAGTCGGTAAACAAATCATGATCTCAATGGTGTTAAATACATTTTTATTTATATAATTAATAGATGATTTTGGAATAATTCAAATTACGAGAAATTAATGATTAAAATTAATCATTAGATAAATGAAATGGTTAATATTTTTTTGTGACCGTTTTCTCTCACGTATATCTATAATAGATGAAAGGTTCTCATGTTTAATATTTTAAGCGATTATTAACTGTATGATACTAACGTGTAAAAAAGTTTTTAATTAATATTAATATAAATTTAATATCATAGAGTTATACATAATTTAACACAATTTAACAGTTTTAATATAATAAAAATGACTGCAATAAATGTTATTAAAATATAAAAAAGACATTAAAGCCCAATAAAGTTCAAAGTTCGTACTTAATAATTTCATATTAAAAGAGAGAGAAAGAAACGCATGCGAGAAGGAGCCAAACGAAAACGAACATCCGTAACGGCAGTAACGCCGTACACGAAAGGAACACTTGTGTTTTATGTTCGGCCCGTTCCGACACTTGTGTTTTGTACGCGGCCCGCTTCCTCCCTCTCACATCGATGCGATCTTGTCATCGAAATCTAGACACAGTCCTTACCGATTCGATTCATCCGTCTTTCTCTTTTTTTCTCTCGCTCGCTCGCTCTCTCTCTCTCTCTCTCTCTCTCTCTCTCTCTCGCAGATTTTCTCTCATTTTTCTCTTCCTCAAAGTCTCGGTTCACCTTGGTGTTATGTCGATTCATCTGTTTTACCACTCAACGACGCATCGCATGTGCGCCCAGTGCGAACAATATTACCATCACGAATCGTTGAAATTGCATATGAGCTCATTAAGTTACACATAATATATTCAACATATACAAGTGCGATCGGAAATATTTGCAGATCTTTGAGCACTCTCACTTACAGCATATTAATTATTTTAATGTTTAATTAATTCACCTGCGTCTGGTTCACGAGCGAGGCACATCCCAAATGACGGTGTCTAAATTGCTCGATTGCAAAAATATTGTCGATATAAATATTAATCGATAACATTGAATTATTCCGACGGTGCGTACTCACGACGGAAGATATGCATATTCAAGACACTTTCTTTATAAAATTCCACATATTATTCACATTTAATTTATCATATTTCCACATTTTTGCACTTATGTGTCTATATTTATATTATGTTTCTGTCGCACCTACTGTTTCCAATATTGCCTAATTTTTTTTCCAATTACCACTCACGATATCACATGCTCGGTATATATTCATTGACGCTATTTCTAACTTTATTTCCTTTAAATTTTGGATTGCAAATACTTAGGAGAATTTGTCAATTTTACATCAATCATGACATGTCTCGAAAGCCATTAAAGTCATCTTCACACATCTCCCATAGAAATGTCTTTTTATTTTGCGCATGCCTTTTTTTCGAATTACGTTCGCGATACGTTCTATTTTCGAATACGATCGACTTTAATTTTATATTCACCTGTAGATCACAGATTGCGCGACATCGGCATCGGTGCTTCTCGCGGTGTCTGGCACGAAACTATTTGTCGCCAGGAAGAGAAAGATATACCCTGAGCGCAGATAATATTTTATTAATCATTAAGCACATAGCCGCCGTACATATAAGATAATGGGAATAATATCAGGCAATGACGATAATACTGTTTGTCGTGTACGTTAATTATTGGTCCTCGCATCGCGGTCGACTTTCATCACGCCGTCACCGTCGGCGGCGACGTCTTCCCTCGATTATTGTATCGATTTATTCGGAAGTAACAAAGTTTATCTTCGAAAAATACCGCATCGTTCACGTGTGTATCACACAGAAATATATAAGAAAATAGTGACAATCAGGATTCTTCACTTCCTTGTATTTTCCTTTGAACAGTTAAACATTTTTTGAGTCAAAAAACGGGGAAGGTAACCAGAAAAGAATACTTTAAACTTTAAAAGTTTAAAACTATCTTACGATCTTATCTTTTGGCAAGTGTGTGAAGTACTTACGCGTAGAATATTCATTTGATAGAATTCTCTCTGTAATTTTTTAGCGTTTTCTTAATTCGTACTATTGAATAAGGAATCACTAAGCACGAAATTGACACTTTATTACAAAACTTTAAGAAATTCACTTGAAATTAATTTGAGAAATATTGTGCACGTATTTTCATCTAGACTTAATATATCGTGTAAATTTGAATTATTTATAATAAGAATGAACACATAATATACAAAACAGTGTTAAAAATTTCATAAAATTTAATATACTTTTAAGTTACACAATTTAAACTTAATTTTATGACATTACATTAAATTTAATGTATTTATAACTGAAAAGTATATTTGTGTACATGAAATTTAATGTATGCGTTAATGTAATTTTCATGAAAATTTATGAAATTTAATGTATGCGTTCATTTAAGTAACTACTGTAACTTAATTTTCAGGTAAATCATTCATTACTTTTAATTTCGTTCATAACCACGAGCTTTGTTTACATGTAAAGGAAACATGTATTTCCTTTATTTCCAATCGTGGTTACATTTCTAACAATACATTATAATAGATTTTACTAATGTGATCTCTCGTAAAAATTCGTTATCATCAAAGATGGTTTGGAAAAAGTGGCACGAGTTTTGGTTCTGAATGCGATATAAATCATTTTTTCAACGTCTTGATGTTCCATTCGTGTAGGTCGAATGTTCGATATACAAATATTGAAATAAAAAATATCGATCTCGTCGTTATACACTGTAGAAATGCAAACATCACTATAATCGTACCATATACGTACCTCATTTTTTCTCTTTGAGGAACAATAGATAATTTTTAGATAATAAAAATTCCGACATTTTAAAAATATTTTTTAAAATTTTTTATTGAAATGTTTAAGTCATTGTAAGTATTGTAAATATCTTTGTTCTCTAGAATCTATTTTTCGTATATATTACGACAAACGGGCGCACTATATTTGCAACGAAAACAATGAACATGAAACTTGTATTTGCACAACGCGGTTGTAGCGCGATGTTAATCCCGTTGACGTTAAAATTGAGACAGTTCTGTCTCGTTGTAAATTTTAGTAATTGCGCTGTAAAACCTTCTTCATCTTAATTGCACGCCTTGCGGACGTGAGACATCACCGTCGAGTCATTTAAACACATACCATAAAGGACTTCTATGTTCGCCATTTTAGTGCACGAACGTGCACTATACTTGATTACAAAACGATGACAAATTGCAATAAAGTTTTATTGACTTCTTAGTATTCAATAAGATCTAAGAACTTAGCGCTATCATTATCTGTTGTGTTGCGTCTTGAGAAGTTTTTTTAATCTGTTATTGTAAAACAACAGTATAATGCTAAACTATAATTTCAAGCTAAAATCGTATAATTCTTTAAACACTTAATTGAAAAGAATCTATTTTTTCAATTTTAATAAAATTTTAATTTAGATTTAATTACAGAGATACACAACAATTGAAATTGGAAAGCAATAAAAATATCGATATCTTCATTAATACAAAAAACATCTATATAGATCAGAAAAGCTATACTGGAAAGAACATTCGATAATTTTACGACATCATATATATCAGTATACTTTGAACTGCATGATGTCAACAGGCGTAAATAAGACATCATTTTCACGTAGATTCCCAGTGATACGGATTTTCACGTACACACACGTACGCCAATCACGCACATACCTGTATTTTTTTTTCGTATATGATGATAAGGGACTTCTACATAGCTGATAAAGAAAATGGCCTCGACGTGTTCGCGCCCCGTTTAGTGACGTAAACCCTCTTTGCTCGTTCGATTTTTATTTCCATCGTGTCTGCCTTAGAAAAATACGAAAATTCGTGACGTATTAATTTCCAAGCATAATGCAGCAATTCTCAAAACGCGCACATATTCCATTTATGTCATCACTTGCAGAGTTGCTGACAATTTTTCGTGTCTTTTTTGTGAGGCTAAATACCCATTCATGTTTGTGTACTTCATGAATTACTCACACTTTGATTGTAAATCTGTAAATTTTCCCCTCATACACATCAAATAGCTTTCTTAGATGAAAATCTGTGAAAAATTTATTTTAAGCATTGCTCACACTGTCGTTAGATAACACTTCAGAATTTCTTTTAGGTAGTCATAAGATAAACACGAAATCAAACGATATTTTCCGCTGTATTTTTTGAGTTATACTTATTTGTGGGTAACCGATCTCACACAATGCACTTCGGGTTAAAGTAAGCTTACTGGCTCATTTTTGTGAATCCCCGAAGAGATTCATTCGAGGAAATCCATAGATCAGCGCGAATGAAGAGAGTAGGAGCGGCCCTACGCGCTCCTGGCGAATCCGACGACTGAAATTATCATTTTAACTGATATACTAGCTAATGTAAGGATGCAGTTTTATCTTTTATTATCATGGGAAACGAGATAAATCGCGATAGTGCCGTTTATTTTGACAGCGTGGCGGTACCACAAGCGCCTCCCCATCGCCGATGTACAACGTGACGCTTTGTGTATCGGTCCTAGTATCTTCGTTCAGGTAATCTTGCATCTTCAACCTCTTACCTTCTATTTTTTCTATCTGCCTTGTTCGTCTTATCCATTATGGACAATTATTATATGGGCTATTATGGACAAAGATTTATTATAATTATTATATATGTATAGCCACGAACTTTTTTTTTATAAAATAATAAGGCTGTGCCTTGACAAAAATCAATTAAAGGGGAATGTACGAAATGTGTGATATGCAAAAAAGTTTTCACAAAGATATAGTGATTATTTTTAATCTACATTTATTTAATGCTGTCAAATGGCAATATTACAAAATTAATTGTTTGATTTTGTTTAATTAACATCATCAATTAATTTAAAATCTTAGCTCATTAAAAATTAATTTGAGATATTTAATGTAAGATGTACAAAATGAAACACTGTATAACATACAAGAATTCATAAAATATTAGAAATTATGTACAAAAAATGAATTATGTACAATATTGTTATCTTGTACTTGGAATATCTTAGTTAGGTATTTGAAC